CGTCGTGGTAATCGACGGGTAAGGACGATGAAGATGGATCTGTTGATAAGGGTGTGACTCGGTCATAGGGTACTATCGGTTCTCGGGCAAAAAAGCGCGTAAAGGCAGCATTATTTCTCGTGGCCGTAAATCGATTAGCGGCGACCGGTAGTGCGCGATTGGCCGTGAATTTATTTTGCAATAGATTAAAGACTCCTCCTTTTGTAATGGCTTCGACGATGAATGGGTCTCTATTTTCGAGTCTCATAAGAGCGTACATCAAGGGAAGATGATGTTTGGGTGTTGATCGGCAAAATAGGTAAGGTGCAAATCTGTTTCCCCTGCTTGGAGTTGCTGCTACGACACCCGTGTCATTATTATTATTATTATTGGTTGAACAAAATATATCCGTTAGACAGTTGCACTTTTGATTGGCGGCTACGGCCATCAGGTAAGACTGCGTATCTTTTGGATTGCTCTCAGATAGAGCCTTGATCGCTTCCAAGAGTTTTGATTCGGTTAGGCTGTCATCATCAATGTGGCCGAATTCGCCAAAGGATCGGGGCGATAATATGGTCACGTACTGGTTAAGAGAACCTGAGGAAGGGTAACTCATATAACCTCCTAATTCGTATTTACTGCACGGCGCCGAGGCGATGCCCTGAAAGAGATCGCCCGAAGTGTGAGGGTTGCTGCCCCAGTCCTGAAACAGCACCGCCGGTTTATTAGAGAAGAGATATCTCGAGCATAAGGGTCTCATTCTGAAAAAGGATTCTGTCAACGTGAGAGACGGCACCAAACCGTCTGCTCTTCCCGGAACCCAATCGTCATTGATATACTTGGAGGGAAAATCGTCGACGATGGTGCCGGTAGTAACAGTAGTAGTTTTTTTTTTTTTTTCTTCATTATTTTTATTCAGAAGGTCGAATTCGTGATTTCGTTAGCTAAATGGAGACGTCGCGAAGCAGAAAGTTCTCGGGTGGGAATATCCGCTGTTTTCTTTTCCTCCGGTTAACGAGAATCCCGTATACTGACCCGTCTGGTTAGCTACTAAATTTTTGCGGTGGGGTATCTCACATACTTTACTTTTGAGTTTTCATCGTCATGATCGACGCCTACAGAATATGCTCTTCCGTCATCAATCTCGTAATGATCTATAAGGCACGGCAGATTTGTCGAAATCATTTCTTCTGTCCATTTAGTGTTGAGAGAACTCGTCCCCGAACCGCTTACTGTCGTTGGCTGAATAAAGAGACCGCCCAGCAGGTCGACGGAATTCGTTATTGTCGCCTTCTCTTTGGCCAGTGGAGGAGAAGAGTCGTTGCCAGTCGTCTTCGGTCGAGACGTTGCCCTGGATCATGTGGGGGAACATGGAAATAAACTTATCGGGAAATGCTAGATTCTTCCTTCTAGTACATGTTGAACAAAAATACCTAAATAGACGTTCTATAGGTGTATACCCCATAGCCATGGCAAGGGGTCGCGAATGATAGTGTCCAGTCAGACCCTTTAGTCGCTGGGTGGGGGCTTCTCGGGGCAGGCGAGCCGCCTCCGGATTCTTCTCGTAATCGGTACGACTTGTCGTGAAAGAACGGCACGATAAAGGCGGATGCGCATACCCCCGGGTCGTTAGTGCTCATCATCTGAGTCAGAGGGGTTGTTTTTATCCATGTCGGTGACCTTTTCGAGAAAACACGATTCCCTGTTAACGCCGCAATCTTTGGTAGACAGTTCACCGCCTCTCCTGTACACCCGCCGGGATAGTACTGCCAGCCGACGCTACCAGTCCTACCGCGTGCTCCAGCGACACCCCAACCCCGGGTATGCCGGTTGTCGAAGGCGGCACCATCTTCAGCGATCCGTTGGGATGGACGATGGCAATGCGATCTTTGTCGGGAGAGGACCCGACGATAATGTTATTGTCGTTCCACACGTCGCCTCCCCAGATGTGCGCCGGTACTCCTCCCGTGCCAAGAAAAGGACTGATCCCTCCGATCGAGTAGGATGCTCTCTTATTTTCGTTTTCCCGATCATCATCCACGACAGATAGCCAATCGCCACCGCTGGTGACCACCTCTTCTAACGAGACCTCCGGTCATAAGGTGACCTCCCATATTATCTCCCAGTCTGAATGACGAAGCCTCATCATTATCATCATCGTCGTAAAACATGAGCCGCAAAGCCGTAACCGAAGGCCGACACCCTAGGATCTACTCCCGGCTTGGGGAGACAGGCGTCTAGGCCATCTAGCAGTTCGTCTTTAAAGACGGTCAGAGCCTGAACCGTATCCATATCGTAGTCTGTAGTCAACCCCCTCTCGTGACGGAATCGACAACTTCGAATAAGCTGACCTGAGTTGCAGGATTACAACACATCGCACGATTCCGGTAATGTCGATATAAGCCACGGGACAGACGGCAGCAGCGAGTCCGCGTTGTCCTGGTCGCCGCCATCCTCCTCCTCCCTTTTGACACGTCGGAAGGTGATGAGTCGTTTCATCTCGAATCTCGGTATAGCCTTCTGCACATCCACAAGTCAAGAGATTAGCCTCGGCAATAATATCAAAGTCGATATCATCTACGGATCGCACGAACGTCTTTTTTAGTGGATGTAGAGGGTAACCAACACCTTCGCCTCCACACAGGACGATTTCGTCACAGTTCATAAAACTCGCAGCTAGGGGATCCGCTCTAACGTAATGTGTATTCTTTCGCACAATTCTATCATCTTTACACGATGTCGTTTTAGTTACAATTGTTTTTCGACGGGCAAACCGTTATCGTCGTGGATGTGATTGTAGTCCCCGATGACCCCTACCACAATATCGGTCGTGTAACGATTAATATAGTGTTTAAATTCATGATCCCTTCTTCCCTTGGGTACGCAGAGACCGACTTTCTCTGCTGCTGCTGTACTGGTATCGATTACTTCTCTTATCGTAGTATTTTTTGGTGAGGTGAGAATACCAGGTAAATGAGAGGCTTCCAAACATATTCCTCCACCGATGGTATTGCACACCTGGCACTGCGCAATAAAATTTTCGGATGACGGATCGGGATTACAGTATACCAAGGTGTCGTGACAATCTATAGACGATAATGCATTGTCGTCGACGCGATGGTGATTACTGTTACTACCTCCTGGTAGAAACCCGCCACCGATGATGGGTTCGAATTATTTTTTCTGAGCTAGGGTCTCTTCATAAAAACTTTGAATCGTATGGATTCGGTACATCTCCGATATATTCGTATATATCCGACATAATGATCGGTTGATCTGTTTAAAATATATTGGAACACTCTTCCCCCCCCTCCCTCCCTCCATAATACAAACATTAGTTTATTTATGATTTAAGTAAAAGAATAAAATAAACATATACCTTTAATAAATTTTATTATATTTACACTTCAAATATACAATATTGAACTTTGAGTGAGTCTCTTTATTTATTTATTTTTTTTTTTTCATCTATCAAACGAATTACCTTTTCTAATTTAATTATCATTCGTATATATATATATATATATATATATATATATATATATATATATATATATATAATATATATATATATATATAATCATTTTTGATATATCAATCTGTAAATTTGCGCATAATACTGAAGCCTGTAACAATAGAAATGTTTGGAATAAGTTCTTCGACAACTGCCGTTTTATCTGTGTCCGATAATTCTCTCATATTTTTTATCGTATCTAGTCCTAGATGACTAAAAATACTATTATGAGAAATCTTTCTTAAGCCAGTATTCTTAAATTGAGATATGATTAAATATACGACAAAGATGACAAATACCCAAAACAAGAATGAAATGAGTGGCATTCTTCTTTTTTTTTTATAAACAATTATACATATATCTCTACAGAGTCCTCTAGCTATACCAACGCGATAATATATTTACATCGACATGTCCACGTCCGGGAGTCGTAGTGTCCTATATGTCTGGCAATTCGTTGGGATCGTAGTATTTTGATTGTTTGGAGTGTCTAGGGTATGGTAACATAACGAGATCGAATGCCGGTTTGCAATTGTCAGATACAAGTTGTTTCTTAGATTTTAATGTAGCTAATATTTGTTTTGTATTATTGTCTATATTCTTTACAATTTCTGAAATAAACTGAAGATATGTTATATATTTTTTGATTGCCTTCAATAGTTTATTTGAACTTTCTTCAATATAGGTACAAGAGATATTATAAACATGATCTATATGGTCTTGTAGATGTTCGACAGATTCATAATCTGCAACATCATACTCTTCATACTTTATATCCTTTAAAGCATAAAGGTTACACTCTACAGGCTTTAGTCTCCAATCGGGCATATGGTGTATTTGGATATTATTGTCTTCAGTTTTATCAACATCATCATCTCTTTTACTTTTATTTTTATCAGTAATACAAAGATAATCATAATGAGCAGTAATTTTTTCGCTCGATTCTTTAAAAATCATATAATAGTTAATTATCTTAAGCTGTTTATTTATGAAATTCTTCATTTCTTTACTAAACACGACATAAGCATACTCGGTATCATCATAATGGCACTTAAGACACGCAATTTCAATATTATGTAGATTTTCCCAGATAGTCCACGTCAATGGTGAAACTCTTCATAATATTAGTATATTCCTTATAACATGTACCTATCAATGACTGTAACTTATGTATATAAGTTAGAATACTATCCATAGTAAAGTTTTTATTCATTCTTAATTCGTATTTTTTTTATATATAAAGACTGGAATCGATTTCTTATAATTATATTTATTTCATAGTCCCGATCCTTCTACAATTTATAAATATCCCGATAAATAGTTTCGAGATGAATATTTTCAGACTTTTCGTCTTTGAGGATTGTATCAAGGTGGAAGGTGTATTCGTATAGTTGAGTTGACGGCCGTGTGTATAAGCGCTGACGACCACTGTCAATATACTGTTCTGACGATTCCTTTCTATCTCGCCGAAAGCGATCTTGTTGGACGCGATAGAGTCTCTATAATTATGGTCTTAGGTGGTGTTGAGATGAAGAAGAGTCTGGTATGGTTTGGTAGAGTCTTCCAGTAATCTTCGTCAATGATGGTTTCATCAAACAATGTTACCTTTTTATAGAACTTGTATCTTTTATGCCCAGTTTTGCCGCACCTTTTTCTATGAAATCCTGGAAGCTCTCGGCTACGACTCCGTAACGAAGTTTGCGGTCTGCTGACCAAACTTTAATCGCCTTCCTTTCCATTATGTTTTGTTCTGTTCTTTTACATCAATCAGTTACATCTTATACACATATATCTATGTATATTGTTTATGTTAACTCTCACGAATAGAGAAAATTCCAAGATTATCTTTTTTCCTTTAATTTTTTGTCGATTTCTGAGGAGTTTCTTTATAGTCAGTCTATCTGTTTGTCTGTAGTTAGATAGACAACAATGACATTTATCTGATTGTATTCTTGTCATGTACGACAAATGATTGACTGGTTGAATAAGCTGAAGAGGTGTATTATTAATTTCTGAAACACAGTCATTAACATGACGTTGGGCTGCATCTAGTACAAGGGCTTGCTCATAAACCGTCCAGATCAAGAATTTTTATTCTCTAAAACTTTTATCAGGGGGGCGAAGCGACACCGTTGATGAAAGCATCACGGAAGAATTCTTAACGATATTTTTCTACAGTCTATATCATCTTGAAGTTACGATCCTTTCTTATTTATTTTGAGTTCTTGTAAATATTTTTCTAGAGATTCGTTTAAGTTTTGTTTCCTATTAAGTAACAATGTTTCCTATTAAGTAACAAATAGCCCTATATATATATATATATATCTATATATATATATATATATATATATATATATATATATATATATATATATATATATATATATATATATATATATATATATATATATATATATATATATCATGTGTGTGTAGTGTGTATATGTTAATAATACTCACTTACCAAAGTCGCTTTGCATACTTTTCTTGCATGTTTCTCTTGAAAATTTTCCTTTCATATCTATTTTCAATCTCTTGAGCTTGCAAAGTGTTATCTATACTATTCCTAATTAACCGAGGTACCGATAATACTGAAGTTAAGGTATTCCAGTATTTACCCATGGTTAAACAACAGAGACGTTCTAACGACGAAACGTTATTCCAAGACCTTTGTATGTTAATGTCGTCGTTGAACACTTTCTTAAATATTGTTTCACGTTCATTGTAAGAAGATATTATGGAATCCATAAAACGCTGCGTCATAAGTTAAGATAATGCTTTTTTTTATTAACCTATTATCAAAATACATTATCTCTACATATAGCGGTCTTCTTCTATAATGCGTTCTTAAAAGAAAACAAATATTGGGTGCGGATATACTCCCATTAGCAGCATAATAATAAATGCGATCTACGGCTATTGACTCGGTCAAAAACCGACTCATCTCCTCTTCACTTTCCCAGTATTTTCGCTCGTCGGAAAATGTTATTACTTTAATCTCGCGTCGTTTTAGTAATCCGAACAGAAGTCTATATCGACATAGCTGTCGATAATTCCATGGGAATAAAGAAACAGATGCATTAATATTAAGAGAAATCTACTTTTATCTATTTATTAACATGTTTGAATCTTTTTCTTTCCACTCACTGTATCGGTTTTCCGTATTAAGGAGGTCGTTTGTTTCCTCAGCTTTTTGTTGTGTTTAATTCCGGTAATGACGAGAAGATATTTTTGCTTTAATTGTCTATTCATTTTATAAAATATATATATAAAATATATATATATATATATATATATATATATATATATATATATATATATATATATATATCGGGGTGGATATATTCTTTACCGTTTAATACTCGTGTTTCTTCTACAAGAGATACAAAGTCTCTTGTATTAAATCAAGGTCTTGTGTTAATCTCTTCATAACGACAACCCATACTTGCCTGCATATAAATAATGTTAGAAAATTTATATGATTTATATTAATACCGTAATGGTTATAGTGATGAAATAATGGAAACATTTTTATGTGTTATATGAAAGAGGGTTAATTTTGTAGACTAGCATTTTTTTATTATATATATATATATATATATATATATATATATATATATATATATATATATATATATATATATATATATATATGTATGTATATGTATATTTATTTATTTTTTTAATCTTTACAGGGATATTCCAGTCAGGATATATTTGAAGAATATGAATTTAAAAAATAAATATGAGACTCCAGTGAGGACACTTGAAGAATGTATATGCTACTCTCACCCTTGCTACCATAGCAGCCTCTGTTGGTGGCTATGCCCACATGTTCAGCACATTTATTAGTTCTGGATTCATGACTTTTCTGAGTGCCATTTGGGTATTAATATTACTCGTATTTACACCTTATGATGGCAAAAACCAGCTGCAGAGACTTTCTCTCCTTGGTATCTTTGCCTTCTTGACTGGCTGTAACCTTGGCCCATTTTTGAATCTGGCTGTGACTATCAACCCTGCATTGGTAAGTGAATCTATTAAGGATACACATCGTCATTTTATTCATATAGTTATGTCATTAATATTTGAACGTTTAACTATATTTATATTGACTGACTTTTAATTTATTTTATATATATATATATATTTTTTTTTTATAGGTTTTGCAAGCTCTGCTCGGCGCAAGTGTGATATTTGCTTGCTTCTCCCTATCAGCTCTCTATGCTCCTGATGGTCATTACCTATCTTAGAGGTACACTGATGTCGGTATTGTTAACCCTCATTTGGTTTCGATATATAATATCTTCTTTGGCTCTCAACTCCTTTTTAAGGTAAGTCTAATAATGGAGATTGTCTTTTTTTATTATAAATCAATGAGTATTTATTATTCTGATAATTATTATTTCTATGCTTTTTATGTCTGTCTTATTTTTTTTTTAGGCAAATTTGTACATTGGTCTAGCAGTCATGTGTGGCTTTATAGTCTATGACACTCAGTTCATTGTTGAGAGAGCACGCCGAGGAGATATGGACTATGTGATGCACAGTTTGAATCTATTCGTTGACTTTGTTGGAGTATTTTGGCGCCTTCTCATGATCCTTACAAATAAGGTAATTTCTTATAGTATAGAAAATGGTAAACATGTACAATCGCCTTATTACAAATATATGATAAGAGAAGAATTTGCTATGAGTCCATATCCAGTAATTATAGACGTTCAACTAACGTTGTTTTTTTTTTTTTCAGGAGGCACAGAGCAAGAGGAAGAAAAAAAGCTGTAATAAATAAGGAAATATAACATATTACATTATAATATTGTTTATCGGGTATTTGATATAATATTGCTTATCGAATACTTGTAAGGAATAAACCATAAGGTTATCATGATTTTTTAATAAAAATTTTTTGGCAAAAATTTTTTTTTTTATTGACCAGACAAAAAGTATTGTTAATTCTGATTATTTTCATGAAAAGAAACTTATTTTTGTTAGACATATCCAATAAGTTATTTTGAGACACAGGTGAAGCATTTATTTGAAGATCTACTTTACTGTCATTTTTACTGTTAATCATTTCAAATACATCTCTCTCTTTGTAAGTATTTGACTGATCATGGTCGGGAAGGTAGATGTGTTGATCATTCAATCGGAGAAACAATTCCTCAGGAGAGAGTCAAAGGAGAGCATCTCCATATTTTTACTCAAGAGGTATATTAAGAAAAGATCGCCAATCTGTAACTTTTTCGAGACGTTTTGGTCCAAGACTTTCTTGTAGTGCAGCATACTCGCAGGCTTTTGGAATAGCAATGTCGACCTGATGACGGGAACGTAAAACATCAACAGACGATAGATAAACGCCGTTATACTAATGACAGTCAATACAATAAACCAAAACCACATTATAACATAAATCTTTTCGTTAATGATATTTAGGGCGAGCACACACATGAGATCGTGGATCTCAACTGTACCCGAAGGCCCATATGTATGAAAGGAACACTTGGTGACTCGCGGAAATATCACAATCATCGGGTCTGTTCGTTCTTCTTGATTGGTCTCCGTGAAGCTCAGTACGTCCGTCCCATACGTGAGAAACATCCCACCTAAAAATCTATTCATAAACCACATATTGAACAAACAATTTATTATATTGAGCAACTCGCAGAAAAAAAACTTGATGCATAAAAGTTGTGGTGATGAAGAGAATTGCATAGATAGTCGACCAGCAGTTGAATCTTATCGCGGCGTTCCTCTTTATTCATGATGGGGTGGCTAGACCCATAATAATAGATTCCAGCTTGCCATTTTCCCATGTTTTCCAAAGCCAATGAGGTGCGTAGAACATCAAACCCTACAAGGAAAAAAAAAAAGAGATATTTAAGTATGTCATATTATATATTATATATATATATTCTCTCTCTCTCTGTATATGTGTATGTATTTATCCATTTATTTATACATACCTGTAAGAAGAGTACAAACGGTACCCATTGATAGTAGGCATGGTGCGTTTTCGTGTCATCTGGTAAACTAGGGCCAACGCCAGGGTATGCCAAACCTGTCCCTTAATTTCATAAAGGAAGAGAAAAGAAACTTGAATCTTTTTATAAACTTGAATCTTTTAACATTATACAGTATATTATATATACAATGCAATATATTATAGTATGAATATTATCAATTATGTGAGTAATCTTACCTCTTCCGTAGTCTTTATCAATATGCCTTGGTAACGTAAATGTCGTATGGATCCAACAATATGTGTTTACGACCTTATCTTTTAGTTTCGAGTTGTTATCATGCATGCAACTATCGGGAAAGTAAAACATTTGATATATATATATATATATATATATATATATATATATATATATATATATATATATATATATATATATATATATATATATATATATATATATATATATATATATATATATATATATATATATATATATATATATATATATATATCGATGCTAAATACTTACTTGATGGGATCTCCGACTAGACTATTGGCGCTAACTAAAAGACAAAAACTAAAGAGCATCATTGCCGTAAAGCGATAATGTAGTTTGAAAACGGCACTATAAATATCCGCTGCATTGTGATTAGTTTTTACGAGTCCTCGGAGACCTGTTAATAATCCTACTAACACCATTTTGTTTTACAACATGTAGGATAAACAAGAAAAGTATATTTAACAATATCACTGACTAGATAAGTGTCATATTCTAGTTATATATATACATATATATATACATGTGTTATTAAATCAATCTATTTTAAAGTATATCATGTTTATTTTCTCCCCTTTATTTTTTATACAATTTCAATGGGTGTCTTTGTTTGAACATTAATATTTTATAGGGTACTTGTACAATTCGCAGTTTTGATTTGTGTTTTTTTTCTATTTCTAATCTGGTACGATAAGAAAGGTGATTTTCATTTTTCCTAAATTCAATACAATATTCAAGCGGTGGTCCTTTTTTTCTAATTTCTTTCACCATATCTATTTCTCCTAATATGTCTAACATCATTTGTTTTATACTAGTTGATAAATAATACAAGTAATAACATACTTTCGAATTTGGTAACTTGTCATTCTCTAAGTATAGGTGTCTATTGGTGATAGTTTTTTCAATTCTATTGAAATCTACTACTATATTATTTTCATTATCTAAACTTTATTAACTTGGTGATATTCCATATTCTCATCATTTAATATAATTTGAAATTGCTCATATAAATAGAGGCATATGTTTTTTTCGGAATTTGATTTGTTGCATATTATATTGCTAATAGTCCGGTTTTTCATCTCTAATTCATGTACCGTTTGATTGTATTGTTTCAATAAACTTGGTGAGGAATCATATGGTAGTTGCAATTGACCTCTTCCTGCTGCTGCCGTTGCCGACATGGAGGATGATGGATCGAGTTCTCGGTCCCATGCTCTGATAAAAACCTTGGATCCGCCTGTTGTTTGGGCGGACGATGGTCCGTGTTGCTGTTGTTGTGATATGTTATCCGTTAGTTGGGTTTGTGATTTTCTTTTCACGTCTATTTTCCTCATAGAAGAAACATTGTTTCGTTTTGGCGATAGTACGTGTTGTCTGTTTCGTTTTTTTTTAATAAAAACTTTGGGAACTTGCAATTTGCTATATCGTTGTGATACATCATTTGTTGTTTGTGTTTGTCTTTCTAGAATTGGTGAGGAAGCATTACCCCTTATTTCAAAATTATAAGTTTCTTTCCTCATTCCAAAGGGATGGGAAAAAAGCTATTCAATTGTAATCTCTTTAATTTTTTAACATATATATCTTATGATTTTTTCTTAACAGTATATAAAAAAATGTATGGTTATTATTATTTACATTCAATTTCATTTACAATTATTATTTGTTTATACTTGTTATAAACTTTAGCTTGATACTTATAATTGATTATAAATATCTATAAAGTATTTTATACTTGTGGGTTTCATGTTGTGTTTGATCAGGGTCTAATTCTATTCTTATTCTATAAGAAAATAGACGATCTATATCTCTTTTAAAATTTACAACAATCCTCTGCGAAGGACCATATTCCCTAAGACTCATCATATTGTTCATAATATCTAAAATTTCGACCATCATTTTCTTTACAGTCCATGGTTGTCTATATATAAATGTATCTATATTTGGCTCTATATTCTGTACTTGATACATATTAGAAGAAGTAGAATATACATACACTGTTGATACCAATTTGTTATTATCATAGGACACAACATCTCTAAATGAAATAAAGATACTGTGTTCATCTCTCGTGTCTCTTAGTATCTTATCCAAGTCTTCTTGAATTTTAGATAATACACTTTTTTCAAAAAATGTTCGTTCACATATATTCTTATTCAAATTGTTTTCAACTTCTGACACTTCTAACGCTAATGCGTCTGGGTAATATTGCTGTTGATGATTATCATAGTTATGATAATCTTCTTGTTGTTGCTGTTGTTGCAGCTGTAAAACAGCTTCTCCTTCAGTGGTGATTTGAGATCCATGTTGTTGTTGTGGTGGTGGCAATGTTAGGTGACGGTCTATATTTTCCAAGATTGGGAGTTCACTATAGTGTTGTTGTTGAATAATCTCGTTATCGTTTTGAATTGTATTAAAATCCTGTCGTTTTGACGATAACTGATCTGTAATCTGTTGCTGTTGTTGCGGCTGCTGTTGCAATTGTAACATGGTATATTCGTGGTCTGTCCAAACTAAATCTTGAGATCTGGATCTCATATCATAGATTTGTTCTGGTTGTTGTTGTTGATCCTGTTGTTGATATTCCTGTTCTTCTTTATGTTCTTGTTCTTCTTTATATTCTTGCTGATCCTGTAGTTCTTGTTGATCCTGTTGTTGATATTCTTGTTGCTCTTGTTGTTCTTGCTGTAACGTATCTGTTTTTGGGGTATCATTATTAAATTCATCTTCATCATCATCGTCCTTTTCATTAATAAATTCATCTTCATCGTCATCGTCCTTTTTCAAGACTGGAAATCGCCATGCTTTTTTTTCTTGATTGAGTATCGTAGATGGCTTATTTTCCTCTTGTTTCTCGTCATCTCCTCCAATCTTGGCTTTCTCTTCCTTTTTGTAGTTTGTAGTTTGAAATTTGTAGTGAGGCCTTTCTTAATCTCATGGTAAGGTGGCTCTTTGGGAAGAAGAGAAATATATGCTCTTAGCTCCAGTATTCGTTTAAATTTATATTTTTAGATTTATTTAATTATATTTTCCTCCCACATAATAGGTGAAAGATGTAACGATATTGTTATTATTATTTATTTATACTCACCGTTTATAAGAATAAATCTTCTTTTTTTTAATTGTATATCTCTTTCTTGGTACGATCATGTTAACATATTATACATGTCATCCTCATCATTTCATATGGATTGACAATATTAGCACTTTTGCTGCATATTTTTTCTTCAGTATTTTTGCACATTTCTTCATTTCTTTTTTGCGTTTCTTTTCATAATATTATTCTCGTTACATATATCCTCATTTTTTTTTATTTCATCATTTAACTCTTTTAGCTTCGTGTTATTTAGTTTTATTCTAACATTTAGCATCGTTATTGTGTCATTTAACATCGTTATTGTGTCACTTATTATTGTTATTATATCACTTATTATTATTATTGTGTCATTTATAGTCTCATTCAGAGTTGACGAGGATGGCGTGATGGTCTTGGTGGTCTTGTCGGTTAATGTAAGCAAGTTTTCATTATCATCATTCCTATTTTTGTTATTGATATCACCATCGTGATGGTGCTGTGATTTATTAGTTGTGCTCATTTTTATTTTATCTATATATAGATATTGTTCTATCAACCAGAGAGTTGTTTTTAGACCATTGTTTCTCTGGTTAACCCCGACAAGGACAAATATATTTATAAGGACAATTAAGTATATTTTTTTACTTTGATGGGTTTTAATAACCTGTTTGATAGGTTCTAATAGCCTGTTCAGTTAAGCACATATACATTTTTGTATATTCTCTCCTTTGAGATTAGTAACGACGGATAAAGATAATGGGGTACTCGTCTATAGAAACACCCAACGATCTAAACTTCATGTCTAGCCTGCGTTTTCTTGAGATAGCAAAATCAAGAAAAGACGATGAATCTTTTTCTATTTGGACAAGAAGACTTGTACATCCAGAAGAAGAATCTTTTTCTATTTGGACAAGAAGACTTGTACATCCAGAAGAAGAAGAATTGAAAATAAAAGGATATAATATTATTGCCCAGGCAAGAGGTTTCCTTACTAGAAATGAATCTAGCGACTATCAATCTACAAAAACGGAAAATCCGGAAATTAGATATTTTACAAGTGCTTGGGATTATGATACGTCTGACGACATTGTATTCAAGAAAAATGGAAGTGTGAGCAAGATCCGCGCTGTAAAATTTACACGAAGCGGCGGCATTTACAGATCTAGCGAAGCATACGATAAGAATTGCGAAATCATACAAATGAAGATGTATGATGGGTCACTGCACTGGATTTAATGCCCAAAAATCTTCAGGAAGAAAAGATCTAATAAATTTGGTAAATTCCATAAACTGGTTAAATTTGCACTGCACATTCAGTGAAGATAAATCGAGTATTGTCATATTCCCAAGTTTGTTATTGAAAAATCCTATATACCAAATCAAAATTATAAAAACAGTTGGCCTTTTATCGAGATTAACGAAGGAAAATCTGAAATAACGGAAGATGATTCCAAAGAGCAAGATGTTATTATCATCGATAAACCTTTCGTGTTTGTCAACTGTGACTGTGATGGATCAATACAAGAAATGGGAATGTTCTTGAATGTTAATGGTAATATTGATAATAATGATATTAATAAGCCATTTTTATTATTTATAACTGCCATAGGCTTTGTTACAGGATATTGGATACAAAAATATTTATCTGAATATAAATTTTTGAACTACTGGTGCAAATTGTTATTCTTTAATAAAAGTTAATAACAACAAATTTGATCCATATCCTTTTGCTGGATTGTCGATGTAAATAAATTTTTGATACAAGTGAGCGAGCTTTTTTTTATGTGAAGTATTGGTGCGAGTGAATGTCTTTATACTGATAAAGGTTAATAATAACAAATTTGATCGATATAGTTTTACTGGATTGTCAATGTTTACTGTCTTTCAATACAAGCGAGTTATGTGAGTTATACTGATACATGTTATTTATAAATAAAAAACAAACAAATAATCCATATTCTTTTTGGTTATTAATACTAGCTTGTCACAAATGACCTCTGCATACACTGTGTGCCGTGACAAGTTTATTATGCCTTTGTCTCAAACTTTCTAAAGCACAACATATTTCATGTATATAGTCTTGAATTTGTTTCTCCTTCATTTCCAAATCATGAATATGCTTCATCATCACCTCTTGTCGATTCTTCATCACTTCTAGTAATTTGCTATTGTGATTAGGACTGATACAAACATCATATTCCATGTCGTTAGACAATTCAAATTGAATTATTCGAGTGTCTGATTTGCCCTTGGAGTCTTCTTTGTTGGTCAGATGAGTGGGGTTGTTATTTTCTTCTTCTTCAGTAAGATCTATTATATTGAGATTAGGACATTTGACACTAGAGTACGACATCCTTATATAGATAGAACCTTAAAGGCGAATATGATAGTTGATAGCTTTGGTAGACGCTGTTGATGATGCTGATATTATAAAGCGTTTGCTCTGTATCTCATTCAACAGGATATGTACTCTCCTACAATGTTACGTTTTTTGCTTACACCCCCTCCTAAGAGAAGAATTTTTGTTGGTAGAGTCCGTAAGATGACCTTTCTCGTTCAACGGGATATATATATATATATATATATATATATATATATATATATATATATATATATATATATATATATATATATATATATATATATATATATATATATATATATATATATATATATATATATATATATATATATATATATATATATATATATATATATATATATATATATATATATATATATATATATATATGCTCTCTCTTCGTATACTATTATGTTTTTACACTTAATCATCTTGGTGAAAATTGGAGGCAGGAAGAGAGATATATCGAGATATTTTTGTGGCTCATTATCGATTATCAAAGTTAGACAAGAATAATATTCTTTAGTCAAGGGAAGGGGGGGTGGGGGGTTATGGTAATATAAGTATAGAAATATACAAGTATGATGTCTAGAATAGTAAATATCAATATAAGAATGTATAATAACCTAAAATCACTTAGTTATAAACCCAATATAATAAAATGGACTCTCCTCGGGATATACCAAAATATAAGAAAAAAAAATAACAATGATGCTATTGACGTTGAAAATATAAGGATTGTAGAAAATGTATATATAAAAATACTATAAAAAGATACGATTGAATATGTCAATGAAACCGATTAAAGCTATCAGATAAATGATAATATGTGATTTTATTTATTTATATAATTCAATCCAATACTGTATTCTTTAACTCTTTCTTGACTATATTTGGAAGAAATGATAACAATATTGTATTATTCCTTTATACTTTTTAACACATATACACATATAAACATACATACATATATTGTATTATGGAAAATTAACTCTGGGATAATACATCTTCTCGAGTTGTCTTTTCCTTTTTATTTTTTCCTGATAAAATTTTTCGAATCCAGTAAATCCAGTCGGTATATTTTCTATTTTATAAGTAACTCCGGAGGATGTGTTTTCTATTAAATACTTATCAGCAATATTTTCCATACGAAATTGAACCCACAACACTCAGTATACATTATAGGGATATCACGATTATTATAGTAATATTCATATACTTCATCATTGAAGCCTATAAGAAATGGTATAATATTACTAAATATTTTACGTGTTTTATGTTTATGATTGATTTCTTTTTTATCTTTTTGGTTTAACATGTATTTTATAAATAATTTTCTCTCGAGTCGGTTTTTGATACTAATGTGTTCTTTCAGTTTTCTGAGAACCGATACGGGCAATATGTCCGCCCGCGCGGAATCGTTCCAGAGCGCTTCTCTGTTAACGGAGACGACTCCAAAACAGAGCTGTTTCAGTGAGGACGGCTGCCGCCGTCTCCATGGCGACGCCATATTGGCATTGTCACCTCCTTCTATAGCATTGCACGCTAGCATGTTTTCAAAGATAAAGTCGCGATCTTCCACCTCCCACGTTTCGTCAACCCCCATACAACAATAGAGGGAAGAATGGTCGTAATTAGATACGATATGATCGAGGAAGCGCTGAACGCTGTAGGTTAGAGTGATGCTGCTCTGAAAGGGTCCTCCTCCTCCTCCTCCTCCTTTTCTTCTTCTTCCTCCTCCTCCTTCTTCTTCACATCACCATCACACCTCCTTCCCGTCATAGTCAGAGCTTCGCTTCCGTTGTCAAAATAAATGATCTCCGCATAGAGGGGTCTGGAACCGCGATGCGTTCGTAGGAGCATGCAGAAATCGAGCGAGTCTCTCCTGTCGAGAATGTAGTACACCAAATCCACCGATTTCGGGTCGATCGAAAAGTTGCGCAGTTCCTCGTCCGTCCAGAGCGAGCGTTCTTCGTCGGGAAAGGTCAGGGTGACAAACTCGCTTCGATGCTCGCGGATAAACTTGTCATTATATCTTCCATAACGTTTTAATATTTCGCGCGAATAATCATATTTTTCTTCAGGAAAATATAGATATCCATATGTTATTGTAACAAATCTCGTATTATGTATTCCCGAACAGTGATTCGATATAAATGTTAACATTGTTACTGTTAGTATCCTTTATAGGGCTTCAAGTGTTTGAATTGGTAAAAAGAGTTATTATTTTAAGGTTAAAATGTTTATCATACCCCCTCACTCAAAAAATTTCATCACTTGTATTTTCTTTCTAAAAAAAAAAAAATCGAATCGACATTTTGGAAGAAATGTTTAGCATCATCAGAATAACTATCTAACATCGAATTATTCACTATTGATTATTTCCACAGATGGAAAAGAAACATTGGGAAATTCCCATCTCGAATTTCCTTTTTATCTGTAAGAGTTTTTGATGATAATTCTCGAGATGTTTTTTTTTCGAAGGTTTGTAAGACTTGGAATATTTTTTCAGCAATATATTTTCCACACCATATTGTTGTTTTCAATAAACTCCAACATAAATCATCATCATCTTCATTATCAAAGTTAAGCAAAATATTACAATCTGTATAATACTGGATACCGTAATATGGTATGATGTTAACAAAAATCTTGAATATCATTGATGTTGCTATATGTTCCGATGGACTATATATTGTTATCGATGCATTCTTTCGCATGTCCGTTAAAAACACTTGTCTCTCTTTTAGATTCAAGATATTCAGTTGCCTGTCAATCAATACGGGCAGGACTGCACGCTGGGAATCGCCCCAGAGCGCCTCTCTACGACCGGAGAGGATCCCGCGACACAGCAGTCCTAGCTGCGACGATTGGTGACACAGGCAGTTCAGCGCACTACAATTGTCGCTCCAGGATCTCCGTAATTTTGTGTTATCGTTGTTGATTGCGTGGTA